TCCCTATTTTACCCAGCACTGGGTTGTATTTAACCCAGCATTTTTTAGAGTGTATTTATTCTCTTATACACTGTCACTAAAATATATTCAGTTTAAAAATAAAGAAAATGGCAAAACTGAAAATCATTCAAATTACATTTGTCTCAAAATATATTCTGTAATTATAATGATTCTCATTTGCTACATATATCTAAATATATTTTTAAAAACATTAAATATTAGATCAAATTATGGCAATCAGCTGTACGCGATCGCGTCTTCATGCACACACTCTAAAAAATGCTGGGTTGTTTCAAGCCAACTTTGGGTCAAATATGGACTAACCCAGCTGTTGGGTTAAATTTTTGAATTGAAGTTTTAACCCAAAAGTTGCGTTAGTCCATATTTGACCCAAAGTTGGCTTGAAACAACCCAGCATTTTTTGGAGTGCAGTGAGTTTCGCCTTTAGTGTTTTAAAAGAGAATCAAATGCATCTTTAGTTGTGTTGTACCCTTATGTCTTTACTTTTTTAGTGTATGTTAAAATGTACCGACAGCATTATCGATGGATCTGTTTTTTCCCTTTTGTTATGTTTATTCGCATACTTAGAGTAGCATAGCCTACTCCTTAAATATTGGCATTGGCGATTAAAGAAAGTATAACATGGTGGATTTGACTTTGCATTTGTGTGACATGATTAGATTTTATGCCATATATCTGATCCGTAATGATAAATTCCACGATAAAGGTTTAATTTAATAACCCACATGTCAAAGGGAAAACCTTGTTAAAGCACGTGTATTTAAACTTTGACATAAAGTTGATCTTTTCTTACCTCGCACATTTTGTCCTGATATTCCTTTATATTGCTCAAGTATGATGGAGATTTGATCTGTGATTGGTTAAACGGGTGTGTATTACTTAAACACTGTTATTTGAAAACTGACGTTCTTGCTTTTGGGTTCTTGTGTGGCACGCTGAAGGATCACGAGCGCGTATCACGTGGATAAAGGGTTAAAGCAGCAGCCTAGAGCACTTTCAAAGAGAGGCAGGTGTCCCAGTACCAACCCAAATCTGGACCAGATGTTTTTAATCCTCTCTCTAGAACTGCAGAGTAATTCATAACTGTCATAGCGCGTAAGGCGAGTTTTGTGGTCAGGAGAATAGCCTTTGTTGCTCAAGAAGTCAAAACTATTAAATAGTATAAATACAGAGATCTAAACTCACTTTTCACTCACAGTATTCTGAATCACTGGGAGATTTTTTTTTTATTCTTGTCTCCTGCTGCTTGGAAGCTCGAGGCGCACAATTCTGGCTCAGTTGTTTCAATAAAATTAGGTTAGTAACTCCTCAAAATAAGTCCTCATTTCTTCCCTCCAGCATGTGGTGGATGCTGTTTCCTCGCTGGATCTGGTTCGTCTTGGGACAGCTTTTGCTGCTATTTGTGGACAGACAATGCGCGAAAGGCATGACTTTGCAAAGAGTTGCGTATTCCCACGCAGGGATCTGTCCAAACGACATGAACCCAAACTTGTGGGTTGATGCAATGAGCACCTGCACGAGAGAATGTGAATCTGATCAGGTTTGCCTTTTCATTTCATTGAAATTAGTTGTATATACTCATATGTCATGTATATGTACAGTTTATATATATATATATATATATATATATGAATATTTCTATTTCATTTATTTATATATGTATATATACAATATTTGATATGTATATATTACTTGCATGCATGCATGTCC